TAGATGAGGGGGTTCAGTGATGGAGGCACCACCGAGTACAGAACTGACACAATCAGGTCCAGGGATGGGGAGGAGATGGAGGGAGGCTTCAGGTAGGCAAATGTAGCAGTACTGACAAACAGGGAGACCACGGTCAGGTGAGGGAGGCAGGTGGAAAAGGCTTTGTGCCGTCCCTCCTCAGAGGGGATCCTCAGCACAGCCCTGAAGATCTGCACATAGGAGAAAACAATGAAAATGAAACAACTAAATGATAAACTGGCAGTAACCCCAATGAGCCCAATTTCCCTGAGGTAGCCTGAATGTGAGCAGGAGAGCTTGAGGATGTGTGGGATTTCACAGAAGAACTGGCTCAGGGCATTGCCCTGGCACAGGGGCAGGGAAAATGTATTGGCTGTGTGCAGCAGAGCATTGAGAAAGCCAGTGACCCAGGCAGCTGCTGCCATGTGGGCACAAGCTCTGCTGCCCAGGAGGGTCCCATAGTGCAGGGGTTTGCAGATGGCAACGTAGCGGTCGTAGCACATGGTGGTGAGGAGATAAAACTCTGCTAAGATGAAGAGGAAAAAGAAAAAGAGCTGTGCAGCACATCCCATATAGGAGATGGTTGTGGAGTCCCAGAGGGAATTGTGCATGGCTTTGGGGACAGTGGTGCAGATGCAGCCCAGGTCTGTGAGGGAGAGGTTGAGCAGGAAGAAGCCCATGGGGGTGTGCAGGTGGTGGTCGCAGGCTACGGCACTGAGGATGAGGCCGTTGGCCAGGAGGGCAGCCAGGGAGATGGCCAGGAAGAGCCAGAAGTGCAGGAGCTGCAGCTCCCGCCTGTCTGAGAATGCCAGGAGGAGGAACTGGGTGAGGGAGCTGCTCTTGGACATTTGCTGCTTCTTAGCCTAGGACCTGTTCAAAAAAGGAAAGGACAGGGAACAGTTAAGACAGACCTGGATGAGAAAGCAACTCCATTTCTTAAAGAAATCAATGTGTCAAATGTCACCAAATGCACTACCAAGGAGTCAG